AAATGTTACTTTTAATAATCATATAATATTATTAGGAGTGGACATATAACCATCCATTAATATTTCAGGAATATTATTTAATATTATATAATTTTAGTAAAATATTATTAAAATGTTATATTTAATATTCTGAGAATATGCCTAAAATATTATTTAATATTAAATAATATTATGCGCTTATAGGGATATATTGTGCAGTGTGACTGTCGATACCAACTTATTTTTTTTTGTCACTGTACAATTTTAATATATATATTATGCGAATATTAGACTATTGCATAAATTACGCACCAATTCCCGCACTGTGTTAACGCTCTTATTGTCCGTATATTATATCATTGTTTTTTAATTACTCTACATTGGTAGAAACAAACATTAGTTCCTTCAAAATTCCTGATTCAGGGGGAATCCCGAATTTTTAAATAAGAAAAAAAAACGTGAAAAATTAACGTTAACACTTACTTCATTTTCTCCATCTCCATCAAAATCAAACGCTGCTAATGAAGTGACAATACCTCCCATTACAGTCCAAAATATTTCCGTTCCATGTGCATCTAAAATTGTCACTGAACAGTTGCCACCTACTATTACAACATGGTTCAGTAACCATCCAACTTTTGCGACAAGCATGCAATTTGCACCATCCGACATCTGAAGTAATTAGTATAATAGTTGTAAGCTAGATCTTGCTTACTTTTAACTCGAAATTATAATCAATACCTCTTTGTAGAAAACATCAGCATTATCTTCGACATGATAAGCAAGCACGTGAGAAATAGTACCAACCAAAAGAATATCCCTTTCGTCTTCTCCAAGACGACCAGTACACAATGACTTCACCTAGATAATATTAATTTTTGTACACAAGGAAGGCACGAAATAAAAACACAGAATAGTGCAAAACTTTATTTATATATGAAACAATTTGTAACATTTTGATTTCAACACATTCGAACCTCGGTGCCAATTTGAAGCTCCGCAAGCTCCCCGCTCCATGACAATCTTTTATTCGATTGCTTGTGATCAGAATAATCGACTTGCGGTTGCCTATGCGGACTATGCACCAAAATAGTTCCGCCAGGTGTAGCAGCCGCAAGACATGCGTGCGACCCGTCAAATTTTCCACTCACAACAAGATTTGCTTTTATGTGTTTCTGAATGTTTAAGGAGAATTCTGCCATTCTGAACTAACGTTATATTATCGCGGTATGCTTCGCCAATGTTGTGCCCTTACTATTGGCACGGTGATAGAATTTATTGATTTTACAACTGACTCTACTGTTTATAGATGTCACAGCTGTATCATACGTTATTATTTTATTGTATTTAGAATAACACAGACAATATATCCAATTTAATAATTATATTTATTTTAGCAGAAATGTAATTATGTAATATATGTATTATATAATATTTATAATTTAATATTATTTCTATCACATTATGAAATTATACTATGAATTTCGACAGTTTCCTCAAGACCACTCGTTGAGGGTATAATGCACACGCAGGCACAAATTTTTATTAGAAGATCATTGTCTTTGTGCACTTCCGCCAGCTTCTGGATTTGACGCAGATGATAACAGCAAAAAGATCAAGAAAGGAACAATATACATCCACTGCAATAAAAATGATTGAATTGAATAAAATTTCTATGTGTATAAACTTTTACAAAAATATTCTTACATATTTTGCAAGAAATGAACGATTATCTTTAGTTTCTCCTCTCTCTCTTGCTTCCCGTTCTCGTTCAAGCTTCTGAATATACGTAGCGGTGTCGGGAACTGGACCGCTATCCGGATATCTGACCATGACATTTGTGGTCCACATGTTTGTGAAGGGATTATCTAATGTACAGGGTCCCGAAGATGAAATGCTCACAGCTATCGGCTCAGCTGTACTATCCAACCATATCGTTATGACATCTTCTAGATCTGAACCAAGTAGGTAGCACTATAAATTGATAACAATACAATCAGCACAACGTAATAAAATATAATGTATTATCAAATGAAATAAACTAATAGCAATTCGATTAAATGTACTAGTAGTGCATATTAAAACTGTTGTCTACTGTACATTTGAGTTTAAAAATGAAATATCTCAAATGATAAGATGCCCAATACAGATTCTAAAAGTAAAATAAAGTTTAAGAAATTGAGAATTTTGCAGTTTGTCCTGTTTATATTTTTATAAATTCTATATTAACACACTAGAGCTGACATGGGTCTATTAGACCTCCTATGCAGTAATTGTTTGAATAATAAAGATTCTGATGAGTAAAAATAATTTAGTTTTATATTGGTGAAATAATGTTAAGATAAAAGATATATTATTATATTTACTAGTTCTTGTACATATTTTACTGATTTATTAATTTTTAAATCTATTATTGTAGCTTGTTATTTTACACAAAAATATCCAATTCCGTTTTTTCAAGATATATCCTGTAAAGGATTATTCTTATTAAAATTAACTTGGTATTAATTCTTTTTTTATACAAGTTATATCATTTTAATTTCTCAAAATTAATTAATGTCTTTTAATCAATATATGTATATATTAAATGAGACCCAGTGACTGTAACTTTTTGTTACAGATTTTCAGAAAAGTTAAATACACATTTTTACGTTAATTTGTGTATTTAGTGTACATTAGTGAGTCCAACTGAATCTGTTATAAGATTCGTCCATGCCAATGTCGAGGAATTTCACCATCAAAATATTTTAATGGTAAATTCAGTTACTTGTCATTTGCACTATACTGAATTAATACACATTAAAAGCTACTTTACATAAAGTATCTAAATGAAATGGTAAAATATGATCAACTTTAAAAATGAAATAACACATGTAATATTCTGTTAAATAGCATATTATTATTGGGTATTTAATCGATAAAAATATTTATTCAGATAGACTTTATATTCAAGCAGTCTTTAATACTAATTCAATGTAGTACGAGTGACTGAATTCACAATGATGGAATTGTCTCGATCAACACACTCGCATGGCCAACTTTTATAGCGAATTCAGTTAAATTCACTAATATGCACTAGATCATAACATATAAATGTATTTAACTCTACCAATTTCATGTATAACAGCTTTTAATATGTATTTCTAGTATAATGCAAGTGATCAAATTCGCTATAAGTTATCTCAGATGAGTGTCATGTATGTAGATTTAATTCTTATCAAAAAATCCATCAGTAAGACATGGACAATTCCTATAGGCTTGTTCGCAAGACATTTACCGCTGACACCGAGGTGAGGAACACAATTTCGCTGCCGGAAGAGATGCGAGCTAGCCCCTTCAGTCTATATTTGCCGTCGTGCTCGGCGAGATTTTTCAGAGCGTTTATCTGGGCCGGCAGCAGGCCATTCTGCCCGACGACGGACGCACCGCTACGGACACTGGACACAGTGACGTTTCCCCGTTCTGTGAACACGGGTACCGGATCGTCGTTGAACGCGTGCCATAACCTCAACTGCAGCCAGCCGTCGTATTCGAGCTCGCTCTGAAAGATTCCCTTGCAATTAAGTGCGCACATAAAAACAAAAACTCACTAAAGTTTTCAAGAGATTGCCGGAGTTAACGATTCGCTTACCCCGCAGATGAGCGAAGACACGCTAAGCAGCGCACCGACGATGACGTACAATGACTGCATTTTTGCGCGACTCGGCGATGACGGGTGCACTAACAAGGCTAATTACGAAGCCATCAACGCAAGGCCACGTATCGTTTGTGTAACACTGCTTTCCAGAGGTATGACAATTGCTGCTACTGTGACCATGTTAAATCATAGACCCATGAAAATTGTGAAATCTTGCCAGCGTACCAACTGACAGCACTTAGCAGTAACAGCATGCAGGAGGAGACGCGAAGAGACGATCACCACTCACCACGTTCACTCCAGTTCACTCACGTAACCACGTTACACATGGATGAGCTGGGATGAGCTATATACGCGCCGTGCGAAGGTTACAACGTGACCGTGTTAGGCTGCGTTCAGAAATATCACTCGAGTGCCTCCGTGTGTCGTTTTATTCTTATTATTGAACCAATGGCTGCGTTCAGCAGAACGTTTGTTTTGCAACTGTTGTAAGTTTCCTTCGCGCTAATTGGATTATACTTTTAGATCTAGAAGAATGGTCCTATCTCAGCAGACAATCATAAAACGGTTGCAAAACTGTTGAGTCTGCTGAACGCAGCCAATGTTAAATAAAGATAAGATGATACACCCGAGTGATGTTTCCGAACACAGCCTTATGCCTAAATTCTAAGTAGAATCGTAAGTCTGGATCTACAATAGATGTTTTAAGCCTTAAGTCGTAAGAAATCGACCAATTACAGTCGAATCCGAGGGGAATAATCGACTATGATTCGTCCATTTCTTATGGCTTAAAGCTTAAAACTCTATTGTAGATCCGAAGTAACATGTTCCTGTAATGCGTCGTCTACAATACACGGAGTCTCTTAAAACACCTATTGTAGATCCGGGGTAATTGCGCGAACTGTACATATGCACTGTATATCTTAGGATGGAGTCCCATGCGGTGTATTTATCGCGTATCGCATAACCGCGTAACCAATCAGAAGCGATCTGCTGTTATAGTTTCGCGTTTTACTGATTATTGATTGGTTATGCGCTTACGCGATACGCGGCAAACATGCCTGATGGGACTTCACCCTTAGGGTGAAATCACACGATGCGGAAAAAGACTGCGGAATAGAGAATGCGTCATTGAACCAACCAATCAACGCTATTCAGCGCTATTCGGAATAGCGCTGATTGGTTGCTTCAATGACGCATTCTCTATTCCGCAGTCTTTTTCCGCACCGTGTGATTTCACCCTTACTCCGTGTATTGTAGATGACGCATAATGCGGGGTCTACAATAGAAGTCGTAGCGGTCGTAGGGTCTTAAGTCGTAGAAAATTGACCAATCACAGTTGATTATTCTTCTCATATTCGACTGTGATTGATCAATTTTCTACGACTTAAGACCCTACAACTCTGCTACGACTTCTATTGTAGACTCCGCATAAGACTTGTAAGAATTTTTAAGTGCTTGTATCTTTATACAATATTTTTTTAGACAGCATCTTACTAGCCATAAAATTTACAAGAAATCGTAGATATTTACGAATAATCGTACTTCTTACAGATACATATGCATAAAATTAGAATACTAGTCATAAGTTCTTACAAGTTTTACGAGAACATATTACGAGTCTTATGATTCTGCTTAGAACTGAACAATTGATCCATTAGTGTGGTACTCGTGATAAGTCGTGATATGCATGTAAGATTGATAAGGTTGATAAGAAAAACTCATATATATTGTTTTCATTGTCAGTGGCACTTTAGCGAATTTTTTGCATTCTGAAATGTTGAAATATTCGTATCTCTTGCTCGAAAAGCGAAAAAAATATACGTGTGTTTGTTAGCAGCGATTATTATCCAAACATTCTAAACAATCGTAAACTTATTCTTTATATTAATGAGAATTCTAATTAGGTCAATTTAACCCTGGTAAAAATAAAAATCGAAGTCAAATGTAAGCTGAGAGTGATAAGTGTAAACGAAGCTTTTAGGAGGCGAAAATTGAGACAACGAAATGTAAAAGAGGTGTTTACGTTTCTTATGTTTCGTTATCAATTTTCGCTTCCTAGAAGCTTCGTTTACACTATCTGTTACTCTCCCCTTACATTCGACCTACTCCAATTTTTATTTTCGTCAGAGAAGTATAATAAATTAAGGGAAGTAATGGTAGAAAACGGTAGAAAATGTAATGCGATTGACGAAATTTGAGACATCCGTATACACAATCGATACAGATAACTTGCGTTTTATTATCGGGAATTAGGTAGGTATATGAATATCTTAAAATATACTGTTACAGTAGGATTTTCAGTGATTATTATTATTATTATTAATGTTTGATTTAAAACGGTACAATCGTGTGCTATTACAATTTGTAGAGCCTAGAAATATGATATATCTCAAAAAGTTAACTGCTAGATAATTGCACGATAAAGTTAATTGATTAATGTCTGCGACGAGAGGCCGCATAAGATCACACTAGTTTATATATTCAAGGTGGATACCAAGTATTCTGAAAGATGTTATAAGGGGTTTCCTCACATATAAATTCAAGACGAAGACTTTATATGATCATTATATATCCGAAACAGCTTTGTTTTAAAGCTATAGGATGTCAAAGTTGTGAAGAAAAACTTTCGTTTTCTCTAAATAAATTTTGAAAACTATATCTATTATTTTAACGAAACTTTAAAAATACACAAAATTTCAGCAAAATAATCCAAGCGACTTTCGAAATTTTTGATAAAAAATGAAATTTTTCTTTCAACTTTGACAGTTGAATCTTTGAAATTAATTGTCATTTGGGACACCTTTGACGGAAAAAAATTTTTACGAAAAAGTACGGAAAAACTACATAGATTGAGACAAGATCTTAGAAATTCTTAATTTTTCGTAAATATTCGCAGTGGGACGCAGTGAGATTTGTTTGTCTTACATTGAAAAAAAGATTGGCTGCTGCAGCAAATTAGATGGTAAAATATGGCATAGCATTTTTAATTGGCTGCAGCAACCAATTTTTGGTTGCATTAGCCTATCTGCAATGTCAGTATAGAATTCCGATAGACTAATACAACCAAAAATTAACTACTGCAACCAATTAAAAATGCTATGCCATATTTTACCATCTAATTCGCTGCAGCAGCCAATCTTTTTTTTTTCAGTGTAGAAATTCTTAGTTTTTTGTAGAATTCATAATGAGACGTAGAGTAGAGCACCGTATAAAGTTGTTTGTTATTTAAACAAGGTTGCCGAATTTTTACAGCATACTGAAATTTTTATCTTCTCTAGATAATGGCCCATATTTAGAACGCGCTAACATACTATACTTTACGGTACGCATATTATAGAATTTCAGAGATAAAAGCGCGTTCTGAATACGGGCCAGTTAGTATACCAATTTCAACTTTTTAGCTGTATATACATTTGTATCGTTGTTGGATAACACTATGTTGAACACTATCACTTTATGTCACTTGTGTCTCTTGCTGAAAAGCTCGCTTAGTATCCACCCTGTATAATATGTCTTTCTCTGCAATCGAAGTGCAAATACGAACAACGATATATACTTAAAACATCTGCTTCTTCGCCTATCTATTCGTATAGATCAGCATATATCGTATAGATCTAGATCCTTTTCTCAATACGAATATTTTATTGATATCTTTATCAAATTTATTGTACGAATCAACGCTATGCGTTCTCGCAATATTTACTCGCCAATAGCCAAATCTAGAGAAACTAGATTTTGAGCAGAGTTCGCTATAAATTTTTGTTGCCAGAAAGACAATAAATTTCACATAAAATCTATAATGTCTGATGATATTAACAAATTGCTCCTATAGAAAGGACCCCGCAGTTTTCTTATGGCAAAGTACTTTCGGTCAAAATGGCTGAAAATTTAGTATATGGTAGTTTATGGTGTCCTGATCAAAAGTCTCAATGGGCACATGGTCCTAAAATCAACAGGTTCTGAAATATTGGAGCTAAAGGTCGATATGGCCTCATATCGATTATTATGAAAAGTAACATGTTGCTACATTGCCTTTTATATACAGTATAAATATTTCATTGGTATATAAAAAACATGAAAAATATTTTCATTGTCTAGAATATATGTTTATTAAATATTTTTATATACATGAATAGTAATATAAACATGTATTATACGTTTTATATAATATTTTAGTCATTTTTCGATTTTTTTAAACGTTTCTCATCTTCATACGTACGTCTATACAATATCAACTAATTACGAAAAGGCAAATTATAAAATTAACTTATTATATAATAAACCGCGATCTTAGAAACATTGTTTGCAAGATTTGTTACAGATAAATCAATTGCTTTCAAAAAAATAGTTTATGAAATATTTGTCAGAAACAAATCAACTATCTTGAACAAAAAATGGAAAAGATATATTAAAAATAAAAAGAATTTTTTCATTTACTTTTATAGTAAATCAAAGCCTTGAAAAAAACAGATTGAAGTAGAAATCGCTACCCAGCCGACAAATAAAAATCTGGCAGCGTATTGACAGTGAAAATGAAGAATTGTAAGTGTTTTACATAATTATGTATGGATTTATGAATTTGGGATTTAAGGTTTATTGGTTTAGGATTCATTTGCTGAATCGATTCTTACTTTCATCATTCTACACATGACTGGCAAAAAGTTACCTAATATTATTTTAAAATAGCTATATCTTCATTATCGAACTTTGAACTCCAATATCTCAGAACCTGTAGATTTTAGGACCATGTGCCCATTGAGACTTTTGATTAGAACACCACATACTAAATTTTCAGCCATTTTGACCGAAAGTACTTTCCCATAAGAAAACTGCGGGGTCCTTTGATAGAATCTGTTGACATTCTGGATTGATGGCAAAAATCAAACAAAATTTTGAAAGTCAATAATCTATAAGTACCCCTATAACAGAAAATGTGATACGTCTTTTGCAAGTCATCATGATATAACATGTTAAACTAAATTCTTCATTAAAATCGCTCATTTGCGAGCAGTACGTGCTACTGCCGCTAGCAATGGACGCGAACTTCTATTTCTTGTAGTAAGAAAACCGTATAACTTAGAATAAAAGGCGCAGCATTATAAAATTTCCCACCTATAAGAATAGGATATACGTACAAGGACCAACTGGGAGCTCCAAAGGAAGTAGAGGGGCAGGAGGGACTTGAGACTCGGGATATTCCATGCTCGGTGGGTGTGGGGTCTGAGGAAGCAAGGGAGAAAAGAAACGCGTCATTAGGAGCGTGGTCTGCGGGGCAATGAAAGGGAAAGTACGTCACTAAGCGCGGGATCCATGGAGAAAGGGTGATCCTTCCTATCAATAACATTTCGAGACACTGCTGCAACATAATGTGCGACTTTTCTCGAATTTTCTTCGAAAGTATTGATGACACAAAAAATATTTCGGATGAAAGTAGAATGGTTTCAAAGCGGATGTATTTTGTCACGTTTTTTTTCTAAATGGAGGCGCCAAAAAGATATGAAGGTTATCTGCACTTTTTAAATAGAATTATATGAATATTTTTACATAATATAATTCTTCTAATTCTGTGTATAAAAATATTAAAGTAGAGATATTTAAAACACCAATAATTTACGAAAAATATTTCATACTTTATTCTGACACATATTGATATGAAATATTAAATCTCTCTCTCTCTCTCTCTCTCTCTCTCATAAATTATTTTTTATATCTCCAGTTTAATCCTTTTATATGCAGAATAATTAAAGAAATCATATTATGTATAAAAATCATATAATTCCCATTTTAAAAAGTGAAGATAACTTTCATGTTTTGATCACTTCCAGCTAGAAAAAAAACATGACCAAAATACGTTCCCCTAGAAACAGTTTCACTTTGATTTGAAATATTTTTTCGTATCATTAATAATTTCGGGAAAAAATGACTGGATTGATTAAAATGGACCACCCTGTATATTTTATATATATATAATATATACGTGTAGTTATATAATGCTAACAACAAATTTTAAATGGGAGAAACATATACCAACGAACATCTAGTAGCAATTTTGCAAATATTCAGTAACAACCAGATCCTGTCCGATTTCTGCTGCCAATCTGCTATCAGGTTCTGTCAGCAGATTCTGATATTTCCGCCATCAATTTGTTGTCTGATTATGTGATTAGATTAATTCTGTTTACATTCGACAAAACGGAAGAAGAATGCAATCGCAGTTGATGTCAGTCTGCTGACATTTTCTGATCAAATCTACCAACATTCTGTTAACATTTTGCATATGGAGCATTTAAAGTCTCCTACACTTAAATGTTTTTAATTTTATTCAGTTATTTTGTTCTTTATTTTATTTTATTATTTTGGCAAATCTCTTAGATGCGATATTATTTTTCTTAATCTTTTAACTCCTTGTCATAAATAAAGACACCGAGACCTTCCCCGACTCTCTCCAGATTTGTTACGTGATCGGCGATCTCCTTTATTGCGTCCACCTGCTCCTGCAGGAATTCAGTTTCCAGAAAATCCATGAAATTCGCGTCGTTGTGTGTCGAAGCAATCCCGTGAAGCTCGAGCAATTTCTGCAGAAACCAAGAGAACAATTAATCATAAATTAATTTACGATCAGAGATGCTGGGTAAATATTTATGAATAAAAAATAATAAACATAGAATAAAATTAATTATTTTAACCTGCGAATAAAAAATAATTTCTTGTTGGAAAAATACTTTATATAAACTATTGATTGTTTGGTATCTCTACCTTAATACTTTTACATGTAAAATAATTAGTAGAAAAATCATATTATGTAAAAAAACTATATAATAAGCATTGCGAATAAGGAATGATAAGAATGAAAAGTAATGCGAATAATAAATAATATCAATAATATAAGTACCATGAATAATGAATAGATAATGAAAATAATAAATAAAGTTTTATTTAAATATTACATTAAATAGAAATTATTTAAACACCCAACTTTATTTACGATTTTATGTCAAATTATAACGAAATCGAACATACACATATCGTGAAGCAAGAAAAAAAAACTGCTTGTGGAGGAGCTGGGATTTGAACCCAGGACTTTCCGCATGCGAAGCGGACACTCTACCACTGAGTTACACCCCCAATCGCTACTTTGTAGCTTCAAATCGCACTACTTCCACGTACGTACGTATTTAGCAAAAGAATTATACTACCTATAATAATTAAATTAACGAATGGCACGAGAAACCTTGAAACTCAATTAGCGGAACGTGCCAAGTTGAACCTTATTGTTAGTTTGCGATCTATTCGACTCGCAAGCGAAATGTCAAATTGTAATTTTAATAAAATCTTGTATACATATGTATATAAGTTACATAAATAACTGAATTTAGAAAATATTATTTGCGGAAAAATCGTTTTAAAGAGTAAAATTACTCCTTATGTTATACATAAAACGATTTTTCATTATATCTCAAAAATTAATTAAGATATAAAAAAATAACCATTTTTTAAATTCATATTTTAAAATTATGTTTTGAAAATATTATTGATGTAGATAAATAGAAGTAATTTTATTGCAAAACTTTGTATAAAATATTCTTTTATATTTTGAGTAATTTTTAAGATGTAACGAAAAAAAGTTAAAAACCGCTTTATTTATAAGAAATAATTTTTTACCTTTTAAAACTACTGTTTTTCCGCTATTAACATTAACTGATATTTTCTAAATTGAAAAATACTTTCTAAATCTATCTACGTAACCCGTATGCATGTATAAAGTTATTTATTAAAATTAAAATTTGATATTATTTAAGGTTCCCTTGTCAGTAAAATATTTTAATTTCAATGTTGAAATTTATAGCAATCATTAATATCTATATTAATAACTTAACAATCTTCAACAACATTGTACGTTAGCCATAAATTTTGTCAGATCGCTTGTGAAAGATATTGAGAAAGAATTCCTAAAGTTATAAGCCACATTTTTTTTTTATTTCAATGACTGATCAAACTGGGATATGTTTATAGAAGAAAAGAGAGAAATTTGTCGTTTAACTAGAAATTTAACATCGCTAAGTAATGAATTAAGGTATTCCTTTTTTACCTCGACACGTTATTCCCCGCGGTGGAATCAATTAATACGTGCGCATGCGCAACACACACACGCACGCACGCACGCACGCACGCACAGAGAGAGAGAGAGAGAGAGAGAGAGAGAGAGAGAGAGAGAGAGAGTGTGTGTGCACACCTGATTTACTCTCTTCTCTAGCTGCAGAGCCTCCATCATAGCGTCTTTCGCGCTGTTCCAGTTCCTCCTGGACGGCGCCTGGATGTCCGTCAGCACAACGTCGCCACCTCGTTTATTCTGATAAGTCAGAAATTTCATGGCATGTTCACGTTCCTCGTCTGACGCCTTCTTGAAGTACTTATACAGACCCGGTAACGCGACATCGCTTCTGTCAAAGTAGTACGCCTGCAACGAATTAACGCATGCGGAAGGATGCAGCGTGCAAGATGTAGGACATTGGAATAAATTCCGACGAGGAATCGCCTACTATCAGTAGATTTAGACCAGATCTATTCTTTTCAGCTAAATTTCTTGTACTATTCATCTCTTTTTTTTCACTTCACATTAGAGAGAAAAGGAAGAAAAATGTGAATGGTGCAAGAAGTTCAATTAGAAAAAATAAATCACTGATCTGCAAAGATATGCAGCAACTCTGGTGAAAAAAATTCTCGAAATATCTCATAATATTTTAAAGAATTTGTTACATTTTTAGTTCATGAAGATTTCTGAAAAAACAGATATTGAATTTTTCCAGATCTTAGAAATTTTTTTTAGAAATTACAAAATAAAGAATCTTAAAATATTTCAAAATTCACATATTATATTAAAAAAATTCTAAAAAGGAGGTGCGGACTTTTCCAAAATTTCTGAAAAGTGTTCTAATTTGTATTTAAAAAATTGAAAAATTATAGATACACAGGAATTCTAAAAAATTCAGAAATTTATATAAATATTTTGAAAAATTATGTGAAGAATTCTAAAAAGAATTTTCACCAGAAAAATCTTTTAGCCTTTTGCTCTGAATTCTTTACAGTTGTGATGATCAGAACTTTAAAGTCATATGGAATCGTAACATTATATGGCGTGGCTAAAGTCACTACCTTGAAGCATTTGATTGATCAATGAGAAGAAAGAATTTTACGAATTTATCAATCAAAGATACTTCAATGCATTTGTAATATTACGATAACCGTACCAACAATAAGCGAGAAATGACGCGTTAAAGTTTCTTGCACGTCGTTTGTAAATAAAGAAAATTTGGATAAGACAAAATAATGAAATCGCTTTAAAACTTTTGTAAAAATGAACCGAAGCTATCTTTACCTCCTCTGACAGTCAGTAAATAATCGTGAAAAGCACGTGAAGTGAAAATACGCATATTATGAGCTTTTAAGCCTATTTTTTACTTCATGTGCCATTTACAATTACTTATTGACTGTCAGAGAGAATAAGAATAATTTCGATCCATTTTTACAAGTGTTTTAAAGCGATTTCATTATTTTGTATTATTTTTTATTTATATATACAAATGGCATATGCAAAAAACTTCAAAAGGTGCTAAAGGTTTACTGTAGAGCGGGGTCTTACAATCAATATTCATTGATTTATTTAATTCCGCAATCGCAAGGAACCGCAAAGAACGAGTTAGGTATACAAACGCGTTCGTTCGATCAACTGGAGGACTTTGTCGTAACTTTCGTCATGCGAACTTTGGTGGACAGTATGAAAACTACACGTAGTTGTACCAAGAATTTATTACATTTGTTTGTTAATATGTACTTATGTAGTATCAGATTAGAAAGGCAGATAGCTAGAGTTAGCGAAAGGCACAATGGAACTTTAATACAACGTAATGACTAATGTATCCAATAAAAGAGATACATAATTATACTATAAGGTATCTCCCTCGCAACGTCTTTAATTCTATGAATGTAACTTTTATTTATGTACGTAATGTCCAGAGTGACATGAAAGATTTAAGCTGGTAGCATTGAGAGAGGCGCACGTGTACGACGATATAGGAACAAGAAACGGAGCTGTCTATATATCAGGTTGCGTCGGATCGCATTACCGACGAGAGAAAACGCTCATTGTCAGGTGTACATTACACGCGCGGGGATGTTTCGATCGCGCGGCCGAGGGTGAAAGGGTGAAAGCTAGGAATGCTGCAGGGATAGCCTGATCAATACGCCGACTGACCATGGACAGATAGACATAACTGGCGTATAGCTCCAAATTGATTTGCTTGTTGAGCGCGTCCTCGCACTCCTCGTGGAAGTTTTGCCGCACCAGACTCATGGCTGCGAGACAAGGGTGGTTCTCACTGTCGTTGTGAAGAGAACTCACACTGCGCGTTCGCGATCTCGGGCCTGACTATCCACCAACTATTCGTGGATCCCGATCCGCGTTCCGTTCACGCTACGAAGACGATGGACAGGGACGGTGCCGCGGAGTCTCGAGGACTTTCATAACATTCCGCAATTGGCGGAACAGTCGAAGCCGAGAGTGCGGGTCGCAGCTGCACGCAGGCGCGGACCACCTCGGCGTACCTCGACGGCGTATCTCGAAGAACGAAGAAAATTAAAGAGACTGATCCCTGCCAAGGCCAGGGAAAAGCGCGATTGGAGATTTCACAGGAGATTCGCGACTGTACTTGAAATGTCGCGACTCTCTCTGTTTGTAAGTGAAGAAGAAAATAATGCAAATTAATGCGTGAACTTTAACGAACGATCGAAGTTAGTGCGACGCAAATGCGCGCATATTAGTCATACCGTTTAAAAGATAAAACTGAAATTATCATACTTTGCAACGATTGCAATAATAACGATTGCAGGTGTTCTTGCGAGTTGTCTGTGCAACTGCGATAATAAGCGAGTTTATTGCGATCGTTATTAGAAGTGCAATCGTAAAAATATTCTTTATAAAAAACATTTTTTCTACGTTGTTATATGTAAAGAAGAATTTTTTGTTTGTATAACTTATTGTTTGTATAACTTTTTTAATTAAATTTGAGAGCTGAGAATTTTTTTTTTATTCACGAAATTTTTTACACACGAAAATATAATAATCTATATCAATTTTGATTGACTTTGAAATGAAGAAAAATAAGCGAACTCCTAATAGGATCTATAAAGTGTAGGGTTTGAACATGTGATAAATTTAACCAAAGAATTCATATCAATTCTTGCATAATTTTTTATATCTGTAGCAATAAGAATACCGACGATAGAATAAGTATCGATCGAGGATGTAGCGAGAGAGGGCGCGAGGAGAGAGAAGAACCACATGGCGAGAAGCACGTGAATGACGGTCGAAGAAATAAAGGTAGTGATTTTGCTGTGAAACCCGTGTATTATTTACTTCAGCCAACCACAGTCCCTTACATATCTAACTAACTATATGTAGCCGTGTTCTGATACATACTGCCGCTATTGAAAATCTATATAGTTTGTGCAGTTACATTGTAATTTTCAGTACTGAAAATTATAGCGTATGTAACACAAACTATAGATTTTCAGTAGCGGCAGTATATATGTCAGAACACAATTACAGTTAATTAGATATAAAAAAAATTATGCAAAAATTAATATAAACTCTTTAGCTAAACTAATTTATCACATGTTCAAATTTTTAGGAATTCACTCATTTTTTTCACAATTTACTAGCTCTAATTTAACATTATTATTTCAAGCACAAAAGATGTAAAAGAATGCCTTCCGAAGCGTCGATCGCAATTAGCGATATGAGATGCTATTATAATAGAGATCAACAATTTTACATGGTGATAATTGAAAAATTTTGTACATTTTAATTTAATGTTACGTAGTATTATATAAAATGAAAAAAATTGAATTTAATCGAAAAATAATTTAATCGATTAATTGTATATTATTTAATATATAAATAACGTATTTATATAATTATATTTTGTTAAATATATAATAGAGAATAAAATAATAAGACATTAATACAAAAAATAACATTTAAAAATTAGTTCAAAATTGAATTTTATAGAATATTATTGTAATCTCTGAATATTATTATATTTTATAGTGAACTATTAATAACTTTTTTGTAAAAATGTGTAATGTTCTTTATTACCTTTTCTTAACATGAGGAAAAATTAATTCAACTATATTTATAATATATAAAGTCTTTTTCTACTCTCTTTTTTTCAGTATTTTCCACATGTTCTGCACTTTCTGCACTTTTCACACCTTTAGCAATTAACAGTATTTTTAAAAATATTTTGATTGTCAGGAAACAAATATTTTTCTTTCTCGTTGTAACTGAATTTGGCCATGTATGTACAATACATATTTTTTTAATTCCATTTTTTATTACATATGACGGTCGTATCATCAGTGACTAACAACTCGAGTCTCGACTCGATATCACTCAACATTGAAGGGACGGCCGCTGTCGTTGACAGTCGCTGATCCGCGTCGTATCGTAATGGTCGTAATCGTGTTTCGAATCATTTCGAACCGACCTGAATCATTCCGGTAAGAAATTTCGCGACGCAGTAGCTGTTTTCGCTCGTTCCTTGCGAAACTTGTGTGCAGAAACGCGCACGTTTTCGCAGCAATGGTCTACGTTGTTAAGTTTCTCTCGCAGACTCGGTGAGGCCTGTGGCACGTCGTATGGGGTTATACCGCGGAAAATGATTCGGAGCACTGTGTCCTGCAGGATCGTCACGGTGCTTGCGGTAATACTCGAAATCTCGGCCACCAAACATTGGTATGTCACGGAAAATGGGAGAATTCAGCCGCAGGTGAGTATACTTTCTTTTCTTGTAATTCAATGAAAACGCGAATACCTGGCTTTGATTTTTTCAATGGAATCGTCACGTGTAAATGTAAACATCACATTATCTCTTAATAATCCAGCAATTTTGTCGATAGATATGGTTATTTGGTATTGAAGTATATGTTCTTTTTCACGTTTCCAGCATGACAGTGTCTTTGATATGCGTCGACCATATGATCTTTTGGGGTTTTTGGAGCAGGAAAAACGCAGGGAAACAGCCGATGCCATATACAAAAAAATATCAAGGAAGGAAGTATCCATTGACAATCAGTTTGTTGGTCTAAGCATGGCTGATGCAGAAAATTCAAATTCAGACTGTTTCTCGTGGGACAAATCATTGGCTGACGTTGACGTGCACGCTAGTATAATAATCGATTATAGACTTAAAAATGGCATAGAGTAAGTTATAAGTCATAAATTTGGGAAGATATAGTTACATTCGACAAACACAACAGTTGAGTAAGCTTTGCTGCTATTGATATATTTTTCTGATAGATTCATCATAGATCAAAAGATCTTCAACCATAGATAATAATTACTCAGTGCTTATTCAATTATTATATTTTCTGAATTACTACACTGAAAAAAATGTACTAAATTTTAACAAATATTTATTTTAATTGTACCAACTAAATGTTTACTTACAGTAATTAAATATTTACTTAATAAAAAAATAATTAAATCAATTTAATGGTTCTACTAAATATAACTTTATATTTAGTAAATATTTACGTTCAGTTGATACTATTTAAACAAATGATTTACTAAAATTTAGTATATTTTTTCGGTATGTTCAGAAAACACTACAGTTGAGTGAGGACTCAGTAATTGTTATCTGTGATTCAAATAAATGATAAATCTAAAAAAATATATATAATACCAGTAGCAGCAAATTCTCATTCATTCATTGTGTTTTCTGAAAGTAGCCTGTGTACTTACTTGTGTTGAACGTTGAAGGATGATGTAATACTTTTTGTTACAGCCAAACTGATTATATGTTATATAATGTGGTGGCTAATAGTAAACCAACAGTTCCTGATTGTCAGAAAACATTTCCGTTAGATTTTAGTATATACACATTCGAACATCTTAAAGTAGGTAAAATATTCTTTATACAGAAGCCATAATATGTCTGTAATATCATTTTTGTTTATTAGGCAATGCAGAACCGAAAAAATCTTACGCAACATGAAGAACTCAGCTTAATGAAGTATCTACCGTTGAATACTGATCTTAATCAATTTGGTCATCAACTTGCCTACAGCTTATCTCGCAATAATACCTCTTGGGTATATTTGAATCTAGCATCGATTTATTGGCGGATTAGGGGAGATGCTTATAATGCTTTAGAGTGCAGTCGTAGAGCGATTGTATGTGCTCCAAGGTAATATAATAAGAAATTCGTTTATATTGTATATAGATACTAGAGAAAAGTATCGCTAGAAGACGATTTGTAGTTTTACTGATCTCGTAACGGAAGCATTGTACATGATTAAGGCAATATCGTGATATTCCTCTTCTGACTACTGCTGGCATTTTACACGCTGCAAGATGTTCTGGCGAAGCCGCGATTATTTTACATGCGGCGATAGATTATAATCCAACAGAATGCTATCATCACCTGGCGCTGGGCCACGTTTATACGTCTCTCGGCGACTTCGATCGATCTGCAGCGTGTTATGATAATTGTTTGAAATTGGCACCTGACACACTAGAAGCCAAACAGATGAAATATGCCATATTATGTCATCGTTTTTTAGAAACGTCTTTGCTATTATTTGATCAGTAAGTTGACATTATTTCTAATTTAAGAACAGTATTGATGAAGTATTTATGATTATAATTATTACAGGCGCTTGCGGAATGTGTTGTCAGAAATACATGCATATCACGACTGGAAGGAAGAATGGTTTAAACTCTATGAGCATATGCTCTGGGAGCAAAATATTAAATCTGCTACCAGAGAAATTAAGCTCGCTTTTGCGCGAGAGCAGAATCTACATTTACTTACAATAAATCCGGTTGAAAGGTCAATTCATCATATTGATAATAATATTATATTATCTTACATGGATTTGGGAGACAGGAAAAAAATAGCTGAGAACATGTTGCAGAATGTTCATGTTAGTCTTCACCTGTTGAAAAATTTACAAAAACAAGTAAAGGAGCGCAGCAATCGTATTACAAAAGGTAGTTTTGTGACTTTTACAACAGGTGTAGATTGAATGAATCAAGTGTAGCAAAATCTATTTAATATTATTTCAGACATAATTACGGAACTTAATGTAGAGTACAATAATTTATTTGCATCGCCAACAAGAAGTCCAAAATATCACAATGTGGAAATTAAGAAAGGAAATGAAGATTTTGAAGCTGATTATTGGCCAAAGATATCTGACTGTGATAGTTCTATGCTAATGTTTGGAGATGGAAAACAATACTTACCTATTTATTTATCGCCTGAAAACAAAGGTTACGCGTAAGTATTTCAAATTTTGTACACTGTACTATATTATATTACACACATAATACGTTTTAATTCTAATATATATATTTTTTCTTAATATTATTAGAACACATTTGTTCGTAAATGAATTGATCGATATAGAACCATGGAAAAAGCATCCATTACCATGGCATCCACCGATATGTCAATCACCTAAATCGTTTAATGAAAGATATATTACGCATATGTTGCTGGATGCAACTGTGCAGCAGCATTCTCCAGATATTTCTCTGAAACCATTTCTACATAATTTGGTTCATACTGCTGATTTAGCAGAAATTGGTCAAAGAATTTTGACGGCAACTGAAGCGGTATAATTTATTATTATTTTGAAACTATCATTACGCATGAAATAATTATAATGTTCTGACAAAAAATTAACTATTTTAAAATAGAAAGTAGCAGCTCCATGGGTATTATCCATGCTTGCATCTTTACATTGGAGAATAGTAGGAAAACCTCGTTTAGCTTTGGATTGCCTCCAATTAGCAATGGAAAATGTTCCTAAAGAATTTAAAGATGTACCTTTAGTTAGTATAGCTTCGATATACCATAAAGTAGGTTTAATTGACGATGCTTTAAGAATTACGGACAAAGCTTTACAAATTAATACTGTGGAGGTATGCATGAAACTTTAATTTAATATTATATTATAAAAGCAGCTATATTTTTACAATATTCGAAAAAACTACTTTTTGCATTGTCTAGATAAAGGAAAGTCATATATTTTGTAATAATTTATATTTCAGCCAATGACTAATTTTTTGTTTGGTATATTATTGAATATAAAAGGAAATTACACAGGAGCTATACATTATTTGAAACAAGCATTAAGGGTGGATTCGCATTTATATGATGGTAGGGCATTAATGTTATTGAAAACATTAGCCTGTCGTGAAAAATTTAATGTTATCACAGGTAATTGTCCAGGTATGTAGATGTGTGTTATCGATATTGTGGATACTGTCTGATACAATTTTTTGTATTTGTATATTTTCACGTTATTTTTCGTTTAGTTTGTATTATCTATATTTTTATTCATACATATTTCTATGAAAAATGTATTTGTTTTTATTATGAACGATAAGAATTACAGAATAAATAACAATAAGTTAAAAATAATGAAAAAAGTAAAAGGAGGAAAGAAAAAGAATATAGAATAAATTTTTTTCTTATTTTTTAACTTTGTTTTTTTTTTTTCATTTTGTAACACTTTCCAATCTTTGATTTTTTTGCGATTATTATGTTTTATTATTTGTAATTGAATTTGCATAGAATTTATTGTATTTTTTCAGTTGATTAATTTTGTTCACTGTTGATGATACTGTGTTCTAAAAAAACACAGATTATTGTGATGAATAATGACAAACATTGTCATAATGACAGGCTGTGAAGAACAAAGAACTAATTTACATAAACATTCTACGAACCTGCCTTCTGTATTACTTACTAAGTATAATTTGCAAGCAAGTGATACATTTTTGCGTAAACGACAAGTCAAGAATTGTAAACATATTAAGTACGTTTCAACAAAGACAGAAGAAACAGGTGCGTATTTTTCGCACATATATATCTTAAAATAGATTTTTTTAGACTGCTATGTACTTTTTATTTCACATAATTTTGACCTTATATTTGTTTTATTTTTGCTTAAAGTAAGCATAACATAATTTTACTTTACAATTATGCGTCTTATATGTTAACATAATCTTGTCTTTTTATTTGTTGTTTTTTCCTTATGTAATAGTATAATAAAGATTTTTGTTGCTTATTTATGCCTTTTTTATTATTTTACCTGCTTTGGATGTTATGTAATTTAATTTAATTTTATATGGTGTACTGCAATTCAGATTTAATGTTTTCTTTGATAGTATTTTCTTTTAAAATAGAAATACAAATCTATTATTATATTCTAGTTAATAGTAGAAAACCGTTATTATAGGCATGAATTGTTGGAGTAATCACAAAATCGGATTATTGGACGTGTCATACTATAGTAAGAAAGAACATGTACGTCAAGGTCTTATACATTCATTATTACTCCCTAATAGTGCGACTAAATTACATGATCCACATGTGCATATGACCAGAATTTCAGATAATGTAAGCAAATAATTTCAATGATCTCCCACAATAAAATCACAGACCGTATTATGTATAAAGATAAAAATTATTTTCACACACACATATTATTTAACACATTAGTTTAATTCACAAATCTCTGAGATGGTTTACATATAAATAATTTTTATATCGAAGGACATGCTACGTACATATACTGATTATTCATCATTTGATAAAATTCCTGACAATCAAAAGGAGTCATATTATCCAAGTAAGGATGAATGCGATGAGCTTAAATATGAAGACTGGGCTGCTTCTCTATTCGTATTTCATAAATTTATACGACGAAATGTGACGTATGTAATCAGTTATGCAAATTATGTAAAATGTATATATTCATATAACACACAAGTTTGTAGCAACTTTGCTGCAACGCTACAATATTACTGCAATATTACTGAAACGTTGCAATGTTGCTGCGACATTGCTGGAATGATCTGTGTTACATGAGTACTATCTCTATACATATATCATATACAAATTGTTTATACATTAATCTTTCAGCATCGAAGATGAGATCGAATCATTGGATGATGATATTCCGAATTTACAGCCAATATGTAATAAGAGTAACTCTGAAATGAGTCGTGTAACTGAGGTGGTGCAATTCTCGCAGTTACTACAATACAAAGCTGAACTTGATATGGCTGAGTGGCTGATGATGATGACTGGAACGCAGAACGACACTTTGCAAGGACTCGGGACCAAAATCGCATTTGCTTTGCAAAAAGTGATTATTAAATTCTATAATTATATATTTAGTGTTGTATATTTGTATGTTGTATATTCAGTATGCATATAACGTATTAATACATATTGTCTCGAATTAGCATTATGCTTCTTGGACCTTGGCGATAGCCGCATCATTTTATTGGCGTGTGGCAGGCGACAGTCGCAAAGCGCTGGATTGTATGTGGCAAAGCCTAGAGAATACTCCTAAGGATATGCAAGACATACTTCTCGTAAACCTGGCGTCTTTACTTAGCTCGCAAAATTATTTCCATGAGGCCCTCGAAATCGCTCAGATAGCACTCTCAATTGGTCCGGATTTCATAATTAATCATTATGTTGTTGCTAATCTTCATGCTGCTTTGGTAAATTAAATATTTCACAATTACAATATTACATATATAGTTATATTATATAATAAAGTAAATATTTAACTGACCCACATTTTTTTACAGGGTGACTTCGAGACTGCTGCAAGTTTTTACAGATCTTCACTTGATCTCGATCCAAATTTTGAACCGGCTATTACGAGATTGCGAGTGATACTATGTTTCTTGTTATTCGATGATAAAAAATTCGCAATGAGTGAGATACTGCGGAATATTTTGTAAAATTACCTTTTGCAAATCGTTAATGCGAAGTAATTTGACGAAAGTGCCTTTTTACATTGTTAATACGAAAAATGAGAAGGAATGTACGTCACAGTATTAAATATGAAATGAAAAGCAATTGTCATAGGATATATTATATGTATTGCAATTGTATAATTTTAAAATGAAAAAAAAAAGTTAAATGTGTGGTGACACAAATAATTGTTAAATTATTATAGAATTTTATGATCGAATAAGATATATTTTCACATTGAACTTCTAAGTTTAGTATCGGCTTTTCGAAATATTTGAACCGATAAGAAAAATAAGCACGTTGTTTAGATGTATTATTTAATTATTTGTTACAGATATTATTTATTCTCATGAATGTGATAACTTCTTGTTACATTAGTGATCATGAAGCAATACATTATAGAAATGTAAAAATTGAATAAAAATAAATTTTGCAATGATCTTTATGTTGACATTTATATTTACTTATACATATACAGGAACTGTATACGATTCAAATCTTCCATGCAGCAGCGAAGGAATATATTACTGTTATATTCAAATTTTTTTTTAATTCATTAAGAGTCGCGAGTACAGAATAGATCAATCAGGCAGAATAGATTTGAATAAAGTCATGTCGCAATGCATTTATTTTGTAAATATAATATCATACTGATGATTTAACATAATTTAGTATTTGATCATATAGCACAAATTTGATGTTTGTACATTATGTATTAGTGTTCGTATTAAAATATATATTTTGCAAAATATTTTCAGTCAAAATTCACGATATTATGTAAGAAGTCGGCATTAAGGGCTCAGATGTTACATTTCATGGATACTGATTTCTTTCTAATCTGTACCGCATATTTAATATTATACTGTAATACGAGATAATGCCGTAACATATATTATATGTGTATATCTGTTATTAAAAACATAGAAAATCAGATGGGAGCAACAGGTATATACAGCGTCTCTGTTATCATAGAGTTGATCCTGCTGCTTGAAGTTAATTTCTTCGCACAATGAGAGATAGATTTTCTTTTAAGTACCTTAATTCTTGCGACTTTGACAGAAGCTTTGTGCGAACGTATATACAGGATGTTTGTAAAGTAATGAAAAATCTTTCGCATAAGGGCAGAATGGACTAAACTGAGAAGAAAAGTCCTTTACCATTTTACAATTTTCACAATAATTAACAAGATATTAATTATTAAAAATTGTCGAAAATTGGTCTTCAATAATTTTTTACTGTATATATACAGGGTGTCTCAAAAAAACGGATCGAAACACAATGGGGACGTAGATTGGATCAAGGGGAACAAAACAGTTTTGTACCATTTTGCAGTTGACACAATATTTAACGAGATATTAACGTTTAAAGATAGGCGAATACAAGCGTTCGACCAGCCTACTGCTAGTAGGCTGGTCGGACGCTTGTATTCGCCTATCTTTAAACGTTAATATCTCGTTAAATATTGCGTCAACTGCAAAATAGTACAAAACTGTTTTGTTCCCCTTGATCCAATCTACGTCCCCATTGTGTTTCGATCCGTTTTTTTGAGACACCCTGTATATATATATTTTTTTTTCGATATACAGGGTGTCTAAAAAAACGGATTGAAATACAATGGGGACGTAGATTGGATCAAGGGGAACAAAACAGTTTTGTATCATTTTGCAGTTGACGCAATATTTAACGAGATATTAACGTTTAAAGATAGGCGAATACAAGCGTCCGACCAGCTTACTGCTCAAGCGCTATCCTTCTCCTCCCCATGCGCGCCGTTCTGAGTGGCTCGCTTGCCAGGCCATCCCCGCACCTCGCGGCCCACCGCGTCATGCGATCGGTGGGGACGGTAGGCCGTCCTGCCGGCAGCAGTACATGAGTAGGTTGATCGGACGCTTGTATTTTTTTTGAGACACCCTGTATATATCATTTTTAATTTCATCATTGGTACATGACAAAATCACACCGTGAGAATATTATACAAAATGCTTTGAATTTTAATGATTAACACAATTAATTCCGTGTTTCCATAAAAGGGCGCGCATGAATGCCTTGTAAGTGAGTTATGCAAATCATGAGAGAGCGATAACAAAGCAAGATAAGAATAGCTAGAAAAGGAGACTTAAGAATCATCGACGCAACCATAGGTGGGCACATTTATTATTTATTTATTTATTATTTATTACGTTGTGTTTTTGTCACATCAAGGCCTCAAGACGTAATTTGATTTACTCCGGTAATATCGAGAATTTATACAATTGTCTTGCACTGCGTTTAATGGAAAATTACACATACATGCTTCACATTGAACGCATGTGTATATATATATATATAATACATACATATAATATACTATAAGCATATAATAATAATTATCACTGACAATTCGTCAATGTTAACTGTAGAATACTGCAGAAATTACGCCCAAATAACTCTAAGCTATAGGTTGTGTTACGTATACTATAGCAAAAATGCACCAAAGTTATCTAGGCATAATTCCTGAACGCAGCCTAGTGTATCGTGTAGGTAGTGCGACAGTTCCGTCGAGTGAACTCCGTGCAATCGTAGCACCGTCGGACATGATACCTCGCGTCGATAAAGTGAATATGCGTGATTTTCGGTCAGCTGGTCATCTCCGTGAGATCATTGTTATCATCTGCACAATGAATATTTCGGTGATTGATTATGTGGAAAATTGAATTAATTGAAATATATATACGTCATTATCAAATTATTATTATAAAAAGTAACGGCATGGTAACTCTTCCATTTTCCGCTTATATTTGGCTATCAAATGTGAAAAAAGTATTTAAAAAATTTTTTTTCTAATTTTTTATCTTATTGTAGGCATAAAAAATTAATTAATTTTTGTATTTAAGATATTTTTTTAATATCTTAAATTTTTTCATCTCTTTTATAATTTCTTCAATATTTACAAAAATATAGAAAGCCAGATTTTAAAAAAGATCACATCGATTTTATTTGTAAATTTCAAAATTTTTTAAATCTTTATATTAACAAATATACAAATTGTCAATACAAAATCTTGTTAGTTTATAATTTCAATAAAAAAACTATGCTTTGTAAATTCCTACTTAAAATTTACAGTAGAAACCATTATTAGATGCGGATACTGCGAGAATCGAATCGTACTTTGTATACTTTATGAGCATGATAAATTTGCAGGTAAAAAATGTTTACGTTCGAATGAGCATAATTTTGTGTCCGCAATATGTAATAGGTGTAAACGAATATTATATAGTATTTAATGTAATCAAGAATGCATATGCGATTACACTGAAAAGTGTCATTGCGTGATTTAATACTCTGAAAAAATGCATGTAATTTTGCATGGAAATTACATGTTCATGACTGGAAAATTACCTAAATATGAAATTTACAATTTCCAGTAAATTTCCAATCATATTTAAGTAATTTAGATAATTTTTCAGTCATAAACATGTAATTTCCATGTAAAATTACATGCATTTTTTTCAGTGTACAAGCCTGAAATTCAGACGTTCCTGTCAACATTGTTTGTGAGACACACAGTTGGAAAAAATATGTGGAATTTAACATAAATCGCATGTCCCAAACGGTCCACTCAAATTTTTGAGTTAATTTTACACAAGATGAATATATTAGAAGATAATACAAATATTACGTAAGAGAATAAATACAAAGAAAGATAACATCGACACAGTTTGTAAACATACCGTGGGAACATATTTTTTTTTCAGAAAATTAACATTTATGACATGTTAAACACATATTTCATTCATTTGTCTTAGAATTTACGTTTTAAAACACATTATTTTTATGTTCTTGTTCATTTACTCATAAATTGTGCCATTTTGACATTAAGAAACACTGAATATCAATTCCACAAAAAATCTTTAATGTTAATTTAACATAATCACATTATGTTAAATTAACATTCGAATATGTTAAAAAATTCAACACAAACTGTTAACACAAACGTGAGTGGACCGTTTCCAACGCAAATACATAAATTTTTTTACTGTGCACCAAACGTCTATTTGTAACGTGAATGTACGACTAGCAACATACTGCATTTATTAGCTACTGTAAAACTGATTTCTGTCCATATTTCAAGATAAGGTAAACGTCCCAGTGTCCGGACACTTACACAAAATTTATTATTATTAATCTCAAATGCTTTTTTTATTACAGTATTATAATTTAACTGCATTTAAAGA